TTTTTTCCTACGCGTCTAACTTGACTACAGGTAGAAAATATTATTTGGTAATGGCTCAACGTTAGCAGCTAGCAGCTATCGCCGTCGACAAACGACGAATATCTTAAGATTCCCTCTCGATACAACTCAGGGCAATTGTTGCCGCTCGAAAACGAGCGCGAAACGCTTTCTTCTAATTACTTCCGTCGACACGGAGAACCTGGAACGTCAGCCGGAGACACAGAGACTGGCCAGCGTCGAACGGAAAAACCGAGTGCAATTTCCCAAGTGCGCAACGATTTTCTCGTTTGTGACCGTTCATTACTGCGAATGATTGCCTCCAGTCACGATTTCCTCGCCGTCCTCGTCGACAGGCACCGTCGAATGATTGTACAGACCTTGGGCCATCAACTGAAGAGCCAGAGGATTTTTCTGACCGCTGGCCTTCTTGATTTTCGCCCTTTTGTTCTGAAACCAGATCTTGATCTGCGCCTCGTTCAAGCCCAGGTCTCTCGACAGTTGCTGTCTTCGTCTCTCGGTTAGGTATCGATTTTCCGCGAATTCCCGCTTCAGTCTGGCCAATTGCTCCGCGCTGAACGCGGTCCTCGGTCTCTTCTCTTCCGGCGAGGCGGGCTTGGTCCCGCCGCCACTTTGCACCGTTCGCTTCACTCGTCTCGTTCGTGGACCTGAAACAACGCCAATTAACCGCTCGTTAAGTCGTCAAGTTTACTTTTAGATCATCTGGTTCCTCCGTATTATTAGACGATGAAACGGTTATTTTCGTATTTTCGCCGGTTAAGATAACGCGAGAATTATCATATAATGGCGCGCGCGGAACCACCGAGCGAGATCCAGCGTCCGTAAATCCTGTTCGAACAAGCGACGCATGGCGGAAAGCTCGAGCATCGAGCCAACCGAAGATTTATTAGCGAACTTGGACTAGTCTTCCGCGGGACAAGTATGTAAATGGTAATTAAGCGGAACAGAATAAACTCCCTGTGTGAGTCTCCCTCCCCCTCTCTCTCTCTCTCTCTCTCTCTCTCTCTCTCTCCCTCTCTCTCTCTCTCTCTCTCTCTCTCTCTCTCTCTCTCTTTGCTTATCTATATGACGATGGATAATTTTAATTCGCGGCGTATGAAAGTCAAGAAGTCGATTTATCTGTCTCTACTATCGCCCCTCTGTGTCGGTCAAATTATTAGCGCGTATGTCCAAATTGGGCACTTGCTGCGATGAATATTTATGAAGCAATGTAACACCGAATTTCGTTATCAAGGAAGATTCCTTGGACGATCTTTCCGGTGAGACAAATCGTCCAAACTTTCACAAATAACGAATGACTTTTTTTCTTTAACTTTACGAAAACATGGAAACACGAGCTCTTCCAGCCTCCAATGAATCACTCTTGATAATTCTTCAATCAAGATCCGGCGAATATTCTCGTTCCGTCGGTTTCCTCGAAGTCTCGATATCCGTAAATACGCGTAGCTGAAATTCTCCTACTGGTCGATTGAGATCTATTCGTCGATCATCCTTCACCGCAGAAGGGAGCACCGTTTAATTAGCCCGACAAAGGGGGTCGATCGCGATTCGTGGTAATTAGTAACGCGATTATCAAGCTCGGCAGGGGGACCACCATGGTGGCTAGACACAGTGTTCACCGTATCTGGGACACGACGACGATTACAGAGGGTAGATCGCGGTTATAGGTTGAGGAGAATGAAGTTCTGCGAACTGGTGCAGGTGGTGTACCTATCGGGACAGGTTACGTTCGCCCCAACTCGCAATTATATATAAACTATGCAGCCTGGTGGTTGGTTTCGCCGATCGGTTTCTTGTAGCCGAGTTAAAGATCGCAGTACACGGTGCCGCTAAATCGGAACTGGAACGGACGGTTCGGGAAACTGGTATTTCTTTATGGAATCACGGTGGCCGCCAAGGAGGAGGTAGTAATTAGGTGAGCTTTATGCGGTGATTTTTCGATAGCGCGGGAAATACACGTTGATTTACATAGAAACTGGTTTCGAGATGTAACGGTCGGCCAGGTAAATTGATTAAGCGGATACAGAGAAATAGTGGTACGGTAGTCGCGAGGTATGGCCGGCCGTTTGCGCGTTCCACCACTTCCTTGATACCGCGATTAACTGAGATATATCTGTCCTGATAGATAGAGGTTCTGCTAGAACGATCCTGGATTAATCCTTGCGGTCCACCGGCTCGGCTATCGATCAGTTTCGCGGCTCGCGTAAATTAACGTTATTGCTTCTTTCTATGATGCCTCGAGCGAGATGGACGCGCGGAGCCTGTTATTTAGTTCGCGCGACGATTAGAACACTGTGCTCGATTGAACGGCTAGATGGTACCGTTAATGAACGCCGTTGCTTTGTAAAAACGAAGATTTCGACGAATCGATAAGGGGGTACCTGTACGTGCCTCGATTCGTATTTTAGATACTTGGATATTCGAGTGTTTTCAACTTGGTTGAATTCTTATCGGAAGATAAGAACATCTTTCGCGTGAACAAATTATCGAACCTACCGGAAGAAGGTCTGTCGGAGTATCTGGTGCAGTAAACCCACGCAGGCCAAGGACTCTGTCCGTTGAGCGTAGTCTGATTCGTGGTGGTATTCGACGCACTTCCGGAGCTACTGTCTCCGCTCAAGGAGTCACTGCCAATGGTGGAGGACGTGGAGCCTAGAGAAGGTGCTCCAGTTACGGAGCTTCCGGTCACGGAGCTCCTACTACTCGCAAGGCTCTCGAGACTTCCGCTTCTGCTGAGACCGGTGCTCCTCTGTAGGGGTGATGTCAATCCGCAGTGGGACGAAAACAGATCTCTTTCTCTGTGCACCGTGAAACTGGTCGGTTGAGGCCTCGTGGGGGATAATCTGTTCGACGATAGGCTCAGATCACGTGGTAGAGAAAGAGGGCTGTGACGTGGAATCGGAACTGGGATCGTCGTCGAATGTCCAGCTACCAAACTGGGCTGTTTCGGTGCTTTTGTGTTAAGAATCGCCTCTCGGCCGAAATCTGGTCGGAGAATATTTACTACGCTGAATCGTAGAGGAGTCTCTATATCGTCCTTGTCAGCCTGTTGTTGATCCTGATGAGGGACCACGTGACTCTCCGGAGAACGTACTCGATGAAGATGATGATGGTGATGGTGGCTGCCAAGCCCCAATCGAAGACCGTACGCCGAGTCCATTGTCACGAGAGCTACGCTCATCTTTCAGTTTTTTTTTAAATTGTCCAGTTACGTGTCTCGTGCAACGAAAACTTTCCCACCCGACAATTGAACGATCGAGTTTCGACAGTGACGCTAACCCTCTGTCGTCATATTTGTGAAACAGCACAGAGTCACACTTGTCACTTGTCTAGTCTGTCAATGTTCACTGATCGGTACACTGTGGAAGCTCACAATGAAACGTTTCTGAAAGTTTCTCTTAAGATCACCGTATACACGTGTCACTGTTTTTTTTCTTTTTCACTGATCGTTGGTCGTGTCGACTCGTGTCACCGGCGAATCTTGCAACTCCTCTGCCCACGGATTGCGTAATCTAACGAAGGATGCTGCGTGGTGTCGCTCACGTGGCCAGGTATGTCTAGACGCGAAACGTTGTCGCGTCTAATGTTCCTGTTGCCCGAAGCGAGATTAACGGTGTTAGACTCTGGATCAGCTCCAAGAGCGAGAGGTCTCCTTAGTATTGGCTTTTCTCGAGGTTTCCGAGGACTCGAGCGAGTGCTGTGACGGGTCTGACTGGCTGTCCATCCGTCGCTCAGTGATGTCTAAACTAGGGGACCTGTGGTCCCTACTTACCGCTCTCCCCTCCGTCCCCCCGTCGCCCCTTCACTCCTCCTACGCCACGGCCTGGAGTGCAGTGCACTAGACACCCTCGATTGTATCTCTATTAACTCTTCAGTCACAGGCTCCGCCTACTGGCGTAAGGTCTACCTTACTCCCCACCGTTAACTCTGGCTCCCCACCATCGGCGGAACGAAGAGTAGGGGTCCGGGGCTAGAGTTTACCACGATCGATGCCAGTGCATCGTGCTTCAGTCTCGTTCCAACGACCACCAGATTTTTGTCTTATTTACAATTTTTCCTATTCTTCGTATCGATGCTTTTTAGGGTGAATACGTTATCAGGCTCGTCAGAGACGTGATTTTCTTCGTATAATTCTACTACTTTTCGAAGGGATAGTTGGAATTAAAATGTAGCTATCAAAGATGAAATTACGATTGAATTTTCTTTCGCAATTTTTTGCACGAGACAGAGAAAAGATTGTAATCGTGAGTTTAGAATTCTGAATGTATCGAAAATTCGCGTGAATCAGGGAATATTCGTGGTACTTCCGAGTAACCGGGCAATTTTGCACGAAAAAACAAAGGTATCCGCGCCACTGCGAATGTCAGTAAAGAGCGCCAGCATCTCCCCGCCCCGTTTTCATTCTCCCTCCACCAGACTCCACGCGATGATCTCGCCCACAATCTTGCCCCTCCCCACCAGGTCACGCCCACCTCGCCTCCCCTCCCACTTTTCAGTGCCCACTACTCCATACTTTTGTTCCTCCCCACTCCGATATCCATCCAGAGGCAGCTAATTCATTTCTTCGAGTCGACAAGCGTTCTCTCACTGACGCGAATTTTATCGTTCGAGTCTTTTTGGGTGGAGTTGTGTGACGGTTAACGAACAATTGTATTATCCACGCTACAGCAGATGCTGGTCCACGCAGCTTCTCCTTCTTTCTTCTCGTCCTTTCACGCACGCTTTCGTGCGTCGAAATTGATTGTTTGTTCAAAAGTAGACGACTATATATGTATATACATGCTTCGTCGTTCAACACGATCGCGTTATATCTTACTTGTAGCAATTTTCTCGTTCGTGATCGCACGAATTCAAACGTTCTACACTTCTTCTACCCTCCACCTCTGATAAAGTTCAAAAGTTCACAGCTAACCCGGCCGTAATTGCATTCCTACGTGTCCCCGTGCAAAGGGGTTGTTACCACCGCTATTATTCTTAATGTCGTTGAACGAACCTTATCGTTGGAACGACCTTAAATCGTCTATGATTCCGTTTAGCGTTCTGGACACTCTAGTGGCGTAATTAACGTCATTAGGAATAGCGACGACACACTCGGCCATTAACCGGTAGAGAGAAAATTACAGCCATTAACCCTTTTAACGTCTAATCGCATGAGATTCTCCTCTTCGGTGGAAACGTTATTTGCTCACGACATGAAAGGAGCGAGAACCTATGCATTAGGAGCACGCGAGACTTATAAGGAGCCGTCGTTAAAATCGCGCCAATTAAAGCCCCGTAGCGAAATCCGTCTCGTGACACGCGGGGTCACGCGCCACGCAACACGTACACTTGGAATCGTAATTAACGAAAATCCCGATGTTTACGTCCGGCTCGAATACGAACAATCGCTAAATATATAAACCTGTAACGAGGTTTGGAAATTATACGGAACAGATACTGTATAGATATAGCCGAGGTTGTAACTCTGTTACATAAAATTGGTTAATTCGACGAAATAGACGTGGTTAGCGGGAAAGAACATGAACTGGAACATTTTACAAGATAGGCAGGTAACGTAACAGGTATCCCTAGCGGAGATAATGATCATAATCGTCCAACTTCAATTACAACTGCACGAACAAGTATTACTGTAATCGTGAAAAATGTCCGCTTAACGTCTCCATGTAATTCTTTCTTTCGTACGCAACACCTGCGAACTTCGCTTCACATTTTTACTAAACGGTTGTGAAATTTCGTCGGTAACTAGCGGATGGATCGAACGTAGAACGAGCAGAAGGCTGTTCCTTTGTTCGGTGAACGTGAAGTTCGCGAAGAAACGTGCCAGCTCGTTGTTAGACTGCACGGTTTTATTAATGACCACACCTAGGGATACCAGCTGCCACGTGAACCACAAAGCGATCGTTAGTACCTGGCTGGGATTCGTGTAAGAACAATAATAGAGATAGCCGCTATAAATAACCATAACGTGTCTATCCATCAATAGAGAGGCCTCCTCTTGAGAGCCAGAGCTAGCTCGACGCTACTTTCCAGTCGGAACGCTATATCCGTGGTGGGGATAGATCCTCTGAACTAGTTTTCAGCACGGTCTTCCTTTAGCCTTTAAATGGGCACGCTGCTGCGCTGTTATTTGTCGAGCTTGAAAGATTGATCGTGATAAATTGATCTAACGATCGATTCAACGTACTTTTGGCCGTGGGGAAATGGAGTTTTACGTGAAAAAAGTGGTATTCGTTTAACAGGCTGAATTAACCTTGCGCAATAGCCTCTGGCCCCGAGGCAAACTTAATACGCGAGTGTCTGAAAATATCGCGTTGGCTAGCTTTCCGATCGTTACAGATTATCAACACTGGTGTATTTTACCGGTCTGTTGTGCACACGCTCGTAAAATTCTGCACGTTCCTTTCCCTCGTTCTCCGAGACGATATCCCCCGAAAGCTTGGACCATCTTTCCACAAACAAAAACGAAACCGAATGTTAATTCCTCGGGTACCCACGATATTTCGATGCAGAACATCGAAAAAAACGAGAAGTCCGGTGGAGAGGGATCTGCTCGAAAGTTTGACACTGTCATCCATCTCGCGGGCCTGATTGCCGGTTCAAATGTATTCCAACAAGAACGGCTCTCATGTGAACGCGGTTAATTCGTTCGTTAGGACACGTAAACCGGGCGCGTCGCTCGAGAGGACTCTCGGCCAGGTCCAAAAGAGAGAAACGCCTAGGGCGAGACCAATCGCGAGCTCTCGTACGTCAGGGATTGATTGGGTTTTTCGTTGGGCTTTGCAAAAGGAAGAACTGGCCGCGGGATCTCGCCGCGACGATCATTATTCCCCGAACGCGATTTGTAAACGGGTTCTATTTATGGCACTGCAAACTCTATAATCAGCCGCCGCAGGGGCGACGACTTATTTAGAATAATTAATGCAGGTACGACCTCGCGAACCGGTTACCGGCCAATCCGGCAACACGTCTCCCCACCGTGTGTGGCTCAGAGGGGAAGCGATAGGCGTGGCCAACGGCTGGTGTCCGCCCACGGCGCTCGATCCACATGCAACCTCGCGTGCGTGGCCTCCGCGTTCCCCTCTCCTCACCTCCCCACCCGATATTCCGCCACTTTTTCCAGAGGCTCGCGATATTTTCTAGAGCAGAAGCCTGCGCGTAGCCATGCGCGTCCCGGCGACACATCGCGCAACCTTCTCGTGCAACTCCGTAGTGCTAGTTTTTTGGCCAAACTTTTGGATATCGTGTAGTGGAAGGAACATCTTCCTTGGTACTCGTTTTGGAATTACTTACAGGGTGCCGTATTCGAATCCTCCGTCATTCTCGTTCCCTTACGAAATTATCTTTTCTACACTCCGATATCCAGTGACGTATCACTCCTGTTCGCATCGAGTCAAAACACGATACGCTCCTTTCTGCGTACGAATCGTCCGAAAAAAGAGACGTACATCAACCTCGAGGCCGCAAATCTGAAAGGATCGATCGAGAATGGACGACGCGGTCCGGACAAGGTGCATATCCAATTGGCGATCGGTTGAAAGCGTCGGCGAAACAGTCTGCACGAATACGCGTTATAGGAGGGGAGCGGGGTGGGGTAGAGGAGGGTGTCGATAATAAATGCGGCCGACGGGACGCGTGAATCCAGATAACTACGCGATCAATCGGGCTGATTGAAAGTATCCGACGGCGAGGGCTGTCTCGTGCATCGACGGCAGACACACCCCTGCGGCACACGAGACACCATCGATGATTCCCCTAATCCCGTTTATAAACACTCCACGACCACTCCCACCTTCCCTGCTGCGGAGGGATGATGCGAGTTCCTACCCTCTCGAGCAACCTCGCCGCTCGTTTTCACGGCCTGTTACGCGTCCCGCTATATTTATACCCGGCCTGAGATAATGTACACCCGGTACATGCGAAGATAACCGCACCCCGGGGAAGCGGTATGCTGCTTATGAACCGTTCTAACACGATGGGGGAACCGCAAAGTGTACTGATTTATCGTCGAGAACGTGATGAACGAGGAGACACCGTTCTGTTTCTTTTCTTCCGTCGAGTATCTAGAGCTTCTACCATTCGTACTTTTTCTTTTTTTGCCAGAGCTTGTGTACAGGGATGTTTCTCCATGGTTAAACTCCTTGCTCTGCTATCTTCTTCAACCATTACATCCTACTGGTTAAG